TCTCGGTTCAGAGTGAAATATTCAGCATATTCCCTTTACATTATCTAGTGTGTAACTATTATAACGAGAACTACCAGCTCTTTATCTAATCTCCCATAATGTATCTTTAGTATTTTGAAATCGTAAATAAAATAAAAAAGTACAATGGCTTTACATTGTAATCTTTCCAAATCTACATTGGATGTTTTTGAAATAGTACGCATCCCTGCCTCGTCCACGGCCTACATTATTACATATAGATAGATGAAATGAAATGAAATGCGGCTTAACGTCCTACTGTTCTGCTCCTATGCTGGGCTCACATATAGATAGATAGATAGATAGATAGATAGATAGATAGATAGATAGATAAATAAATAAAACTGAAATCATAAATATAAGAACAAGTATAAGATCTGAAACGTTGAACACTTTTAAGTCACAGTTAAAGACATTCATTTTCAAGCAAATATTTGACAAAATAAGCGCTCTTGAGCAGTTTGCTGGAAAGAATTGAGCTCTAAAAATTCATAATTTATTATTATATTTTATTAATTAACTTTATCAACTTTATTGTTAGCTTTATCAACTCTCCAAAGCAAGTATGAGTGACATCGTGTGTTTTGTTTGTTTGTTTTTTTTAAATCAGTACATATAATTATCTTGCTTCATGCGCGAACTGGTGGGAGATAACCGGTGCACCAGGAGTAACCACAAGGTTGAGAAAGCACCCCAATTTCCAAGCCACATACACTCACACCAAGGATCGACACCACGATGGCAAGCCAGAGGTGACCAGCCAGCTAGAACTCGAAGTACGATACTCTAGACCACTGGGCGATTCCACCACCACATGCTAGTGGGGTATAATATAAAGCTGGGGATCCTGATGAATACATGCGCGAACTGGTGGGAGATAACCGGTGCACCAGGAGTAACCACAAGGTTGAGAAAGCACCCCAATTTCCAAGCCACATACGCTCACACCAAGGATCGACACCACGATGGGAAGCCAGAGGTGACCAGCCAGCTAGAACTCGAAGTACGATACTCTAGACCACTGGGCGATTCCACCACCACATGCTGAGGTCCTATAACCCTAGTGGGGTATAATATAAAGCTGGGGATTCTGATGAATACAGATCCTGATGAATCGGCTTCTCCTTTATCACCGGACTACCCAGCAACACGCACCGAAAATAGATTCATATTTCCACAATCAGAAAACACCAGGCACGAAGGGGGAATCTATTCAGAGAGAGAGAGAGATTGTCCGCGATATCACTTCGGTGGAAGCGGACGTAAAATCTCTTATTTAACAACAACGATGTATACAGAACGATGCATACAGAATCTGAGTAAGTATGCTATAATCCGGTTAATAGAAGAATTTTACAGGGGGGGGGGGGGGATCTAGTCACAGAGAGAGAGAGGGACGTTGTATGCGATATCACTTCGATGGAAGTGGACGTAAAATCGCCTATATTTTAACAGCAACGATGAATACAGAATTTGATTCAGTACCATATAATCTGGTTAATGGAGGAATATTAAATGCGTAATGCACAACATCAGATTAAATCTAATGTTAAATTCATTAAAATTCATTAAATCTAATGTTAAATTCATTAAATCTAATGTTAAATTCATGTTAAATTCATTAAATCTAATGTTAAATTCATTAAATCTAATGTTAAATTCATTAAATCTAATGTTAAATTCATTAAATTTAATGTTAAATTCATTAAATCTAATGTTAAATTCATGTTAAATTCATTAAATCTAATGTTAAATTCATTAAATCTAATGTTAAATTCATTAAATCACGATTCTCCTTTGTTCGTTAACGATTTTATCATATTCATAGGAATATTTTCTGTGTTTATCATAATTTAGGTTGAAGAATTTCTACAGGGATATGTAATGGTCCTACGACAATAAAACCTGTCATCAACAAAGTCTAGGGAAAGTGTTTGACATTTCGGATCGCGTTTGATAAAATAACAAATCTCATTTAGTCGTAATACAATAGACATTGTTGCAATGCTTGGGGGTAAGATGTGAAAATTATACCAAAGTCTGGACAGTCTTTCAATCAGAATGAGTTTTGAGCGTATTTGTCTCGTTGTTCCTTATATATGGTAATTTATTATTGGTTTTATGAATTGAGGGTGAAATGGGTATGAAATCAAATGGGGATAAACGTTCTATTTTCTGCATCGATTGGGCTAATGTGTTTAATTCCAGTGGTTTGAGCCGACCCCCCCCCACCCCCGCGCAGTGAACTATACAAACAAAAACACTTCCCTGTACGAATATTATGTTGCATCCGCTGAAGGTACTGTTAAGTTAGCGCCTTACTTAAAGAGCCAACGCGGCTCCCTTGCCTTGATACAAATGTATCTATAGATAAACTTTAACAACCGTTAACTCACATGAAAAGCATTATGTTGCATCACTGAAGGTACTGTTGAGTTAGCGTCTTACTTAAAGAGCCAACGCGGCTCCCTTGCCCTGATACAAATGTATCCATAGATAAACATTGACAACTGTTAACTCACATGAAAAGCATCAAATGCCAGAAGCAATTTTAATTAAGGAAATATCAAATACAGGAGTACTATATGAATAATGAACCGAACATGACGTCATCGCAACCATCTTGGAATTGAGACCAAATACAGCAATCGATGTGTATGTAATTGAATTGGCACTGGCAGAGCCTTATGATTTGTTCTGAAGAGCATCGATCATATAACAATTAAAGCAAGATTACCGAGTGTATGTTAACAGTTTCTGATCCAAAAAGCTCTTAGACTATGTTCCCACTATCACGTTTCGTTCTACGATTGAAATCGTGGTTTTAATCGTGGTGATCCTACCAGGTCTTAATCTTATCGTAGTAATCGTGTTGATCGTATTCAAACGTATCCAAACGTAGCTTAGCGTACCAGATCGTGGACTCAATAAGGACAGTGGGAACCTAGCATAATACAGGTGTCCCGTCAGGATAACCGGGACTACTTCCACCTTTCCGCAGAGTCCCGTAGTACCGGCGGGATTTAACCTATATATTGCTGTTTTGCCGTGGCTGCGGCTCAGATTATGCTTTAGACTTCAAATAGATAACATTGTTTTTATTGCGGACGCCTTGGAACACCAAGTGGGACTTGGTAATTATAGAAATACCCTCGATCATTACAATAATTATATAAAATGGATGAAATGAGTTTGACAAGTTTTAAAATCTGCAAAAAGGAGGATGGGCATTTAAATGACTTGCACATAAATGCCTGAATACCGAATTGCTATGATTATGTAATGTTGTTCGAAGCAGTGGATTTATATTTTGACAAGTATACTTTCCTTGGTGATGTATTATGGTTACGTTTTTAAAAATAATTTTCCATTAAACAGTACACATATTTTGACGAATACGTTCTCCAAAGCTATATTCTGTATTCAACCCAACCTGGTTATTAGCTGTGTCTTTTAACCATCTCGGGGAGCCACAGTGGCTAAGTGGGTAAGGCGCTGGCTCGCTAGCCTTTGCATCCAGTGATTGCCGAGAAGGTTTATCGGGATTCAGGCGTGCTTTCTCCTGGTCAATGGTGCAGGATGAAGGGTCTGACAAGGACAGCTGTCTAGTTGTTCGGATGGGACGAAAACCTGAGGTCCCGTGTACACATTGGCGTGCACATAAAAGATCCATTGGCAGTTGGAATTCGATATAGGAGTAGGCCTTAGCTCCGCTATCCGGGCACGATTTCCCTCGTAGCACACTGTATTCATTATCCAAGACGGAGCAGAACAGTAGGACGTTAAACTCCAATTTCATTTTATTTCATTTTCATTTTATTTCATCTCATTTAACGCCAGACATCTAACTCCACCTACGATAGATCTAATAATTATTTGTAGCGTATTGTGGCGTGATTGTCTCATTGCATCGTAACATCATTCACGTATCCTGCTTAAACACATTAAATAGATCAAACAGATCAAAGCCTGGGTGCATTTAAAATCTCTACCCGGTAGTTCCCGCGATATTCTAACTATGGTTAGTTATGGAAACTCATCACGCAACGTCAATTGTTTCAGTTGTGTTCCTTTCGAGTGCAAATCAGAGAGAGGGAGAGTGGGTGGGTGCGTGGGTGCATTTAAAACCCTTACCTATTAGTTCCCTCGATATTCTAACTATGGTTAGTTATGGAATTCATCACGCATCCACAATTGATTTAGTTGAGTTCCTTTCCAGTACAAATGAAGAGAGAGGGGGAGGGAGGGAGAGAGACAAGGAGAGAAGGAGGGGGTGAGAGCGGGTTAACGTCCACTCAACACAAACTAAGTCATTTCGGGACTAACACATGGTTCAATTAGTTGCCAAAACTGATCATCTGGTCTGGGTGTCAAGGTTACGGGTATCGACGACGTCTGGTGATATTTGATACATCACGTAGACAAAACAATTCCTATAACCCAGACGTCATTTTCCCGCTTTAGATGAACGCCTGTGGTCAAGATTGGTCGACATGGGTCAAGGCGATCGCACGCAGAAGGAACCCTGAAATCTTATTAATCAGTTAGTTGGGTAGATATTGATATGTGAGACAAGTATTGGAATAGTTGTAATTATATTGGTACAACTACGGAACTTATTAAAGGTGGTCTGGTCTAGTATGAACCTTACACAAAAACACATACTTATGGAAAAAACAGCTACTTATTTATTTGGGCGTTTGTCAAGTATGGTTTCAGGAATAGTTGTTATAGTTTTTCTATGTACATGTATATTGACCTCATAATTTTTGTAATACAATATTAGCTACATAACGTTGAGAGAATACTCTTCGAAACGTCGCAAATAAATAAGTAGCTGGTTTTTTTCCCCATAAGTATGTGTTTTGTGTATTGCTCTACCCAGTTACTAAATGAGCCTTAAAGATGTTTAGTATGAACCTGTGTTAGGGTGAAATTATTTAATGATTTATTTATATCTGGGATATATAGCATGTTCCTACCTTTCCAAACCAGCCAAAGCCACCAACCACGCAGCACCTGCCACTAAGACATGACTCAAGAACGCTAAAATCTGACACAACAAGTCTCCAAATATCCAACGACCTGAAAATAAAAGAATTAAAATTATATATTCACCAATACTATAAACTTTTGTCTTCCAGAACATTTAGTTCTATTAATTCTTCTGTGGAGACTACACGTGGTTTAAGGCGAACTGTTCTTGACGTTATCTTTTCAAACTGCGAAACACGGTGGTCCACTCCCGGAATCCTTCTCTGATATTTACAGTGTGGTGTCTGACAGAAACAACGTCTAGTCAAAAAAACAAGACACCGTGTACACGTTAGCGTCCAACTATGATAACTCTTGGCAATTCGAATTCGCCGGATAAGAGCAGAAAAGTAGAAAATTAAACTCTCTTCCAAACTAGTATATATACAATATCTCCGCCTTTATTAGCCCGGTTGGGGCAGACTTTAAACCCAATTTTATTTATTTTCCAATAATTTCTTGATCAGCAGGGTTTTTTTTTCATATTCCCCAGATTGCTCTCAAGGAAAACGTCTATTAAAATTCAGTATTGTTCGAAATTACCCCGTTTTCGATAAAACTAGCGATGTTTTTTGTTCATGTGCTTTTTTGATAAAATAAAATGAATTCATCGATTTTCTTCACAAAAATGGATAAATAGTATCGAATGCATCACAATGGTAGACAGTAGTATCGAAGGTTGGTACAAAATGACAAGTTTACAGAAGTTATGTCCGAAATTTGAGTAAAGAATTTTCGTTCGGCGCAAGATTCAGCGACGGTCAAATTTACCGCTTCCAATGCATCCAAGCGTAATATTTAATTTATGTCAGCACAAAAAGCAACGAGATTTTATTAAGAGGCCACTCCCGTTAAGCGGTCAGTTGTGAAAATTCCCTTGGGTGGCTGCTTAATGCAGATTCTACTGTACATCCTTGTGAATGTTCTACAGGACGGTGTCCTTGGTTGAAGTTCTCCACAATTCGTAGGAAATTGCAATGGGTCACAGGAAAGCATAATAATGAATACCGTGGAGTCTTCTACCGTTTATATTTCAACAGATTTATTCATGAATTCGATGAATTTATTTTATAAACCTGGAATTGATTTCTTTGTTCACCAATTAAGCCATCGGTGGGATTGTATATTTTGATCAGTCTCGGGTTTCTGAAATTGATACTTGTCAAGTTTTTATCCGTGGAATTATCCGACATGACTTGGGATTGTTCATTAAACATCCATTATGTGAGATTTAGATAAAGAGCTAATGAAAAAGGAATATATTGAAGTTTTCAGTCAAATTACTTCATTCTGAACGGAGTGATCGCCATTGAATGAACAGTGTATTCTCGATTTGTCATTTCTGCTAACATCAAATGATGACGTCACATCTGTATTTTAAATATTAATATAAGAACGATCTCTGTCTAATAATTAGTCTCTATACTATACGCGGCTACTAAAAGTAGGAACAACTGGTAAGACTCTAATAAGTACCCTTTTTGCGATAGTAAACAAAGGCTAGGTTATTCATTTTTTAAATAAAATCATGAACTGCCAATCATTTTTAAACCCTTTGACAATCAAGAGCATCCAATGGCTTAGAGAGTTGATTATGGTCTTGCCAGGTTAATAAATGTCTAATTGATAATTTAAGGCCTAAAGAAAGACCTACAATAGGCAGATATAGCTCTTGAATAATTCATCTTTAATTTTGTAGCCGATACACGACCATAAGAAAATATCCCTTTCACATAAGAATTGCCTTTTCATTATGGAGCAGTGTTGGAATTCGGCAGTTTGAATCCCGATACCCCTCAATAAGGAAATATCCCTTTCAGACAAGCAATTTATCTTTTACGTTCGATCTTCTACATTTTACTTTAGATCACATGTTTAAACTGATACAGCATTGATTTTCAGACATGTACACTGTAAATCCTGGAGGTGATATTGGACGGTGCTTGGATTACAATTATTTAAAATAATTGCTAGGGATTTTTTGTAGCTATCTCATTCACCTTGTAATGGCGATATTTGTAGATCAGAACTTGTAAGATAAGTTCTGTTTAGCAATAACAATATAGTGTGTTTAGATATATAATCGATAGTTATTCCTTGAATAGCATTTAGCAATAAGAATATAGTTTCTTTAGATATATAATCGATAGTTATTCTTTGAATATCATTTAGCAATAACAATATAGTTTGTTTAGGTATACAATCGATAGTTATTCTTTGAATAGCATTTAGCAATAACAATATAGTTTGTTTAGATATATAATCGATAGTTATTCCTTGAATAGCATTTAGCAATAACAATATAGTTTCTTTAGATATATAATCGATAGTTATTCTTTGAATAGCATTTAGCAATAACAAAATAGTTTGTTTAGATATATAATTGATAGTTATTCCTTGAATAGCATTTAGCAATAACAATATAGTTTGTATAAATATATAATCGATAGTTATTCTTTGAATAGCATTTAGCAATAACAACATAGTTTGTTTAGGTAGCCTATATAATCGATAGTCATTCTTTGAATAACATTTAGCAAGAACAACATAGTTTCTTTAGATATATAATTGATAGTTATTCTTTGAATAGCTTTTAGTACTGTACACATACTGAATAAAAACACTATTATCGTCCAATAACACATTCTACAGTTGATATCGCTTGTGTGATAACTTTCATGTTCTACTGAGTGAAATCTATCGCTTTACATAAATGATATTTTTTTATTTGTGCGTGGAAGAAAGGGTTGGGTGATACAGTCTCGTTCTTTTCTACATTATCGACTTGTGTTGATATTTTTTTTATATCAAAAAAGGGTCGGAAGAGATTCTCTATTTATGGATAACAATTACTATAGTTTAAACTGTTTCAATGGCATTTAGTAATTGAACTAGAGTATACAGGTCACAATTCTATAGCTTGATAATGACTAGAGAAGCCTAGTCGAAACGTCGCTCAGTAAAAAGCAGTAATTGTATTCCATAGAATTGTGACCTGTATACTATAGTTTATTACATTCCGACGTTTCAACGCGATTTCACAAGCATATAATAATAAATATAAGTGTTGATATGCTTGATAACGAATTGTGAAATCGCGCTGAAACGTCACGGTGTAATAAACCATAGTAATTGTTATCCATAAATACTTGATAACTGATAATGGATAGTTAGATATGTTGCATTTTTGCAACATATGACGAGCAAAGGAATCATTCTATTTATTCCCTTGCAATATTTTTCAAACCCCATAAAAGTACATTTAAAGCAATGATTAAATCAATTAGATTAAGATACGAATAGTGAAAGTGATACATTTGAATCTTGTTATCAGAACCTCAGTATGTGGTGATTTAAGACCATTCCCGCCAATTTATAGGAAATGGCCCAATCAAACATGTTTCGTGATCCGAAAATTGGCCAAATTTGTAAGCTTGGAGATCAGATCAACCAACTGAGACATGGATATTTGTTATTAAGTTTTAAAGATGGATTGCAAGAGTGTCGTGGTAGTGAGTTTAACGTCAATACTGTCTTTAGCTGAAGCAGGAAGGGGATCACGTGGCTAAGTGAGTAAGACGCAGGCTGGCTAGCCTGGAGGTCGGGTGTTCGATCCCTGCATTGGCCGAGAAAGTTCATCCGGATTTTGAGGTGTGGTTTCCCCTTGTCAGTGATGCAGGACGGAGGAAATGACAAGGACAGCTGTCTAGTCGTTCGGATGGGACGAAAAACCGAGGTTCCGTGTACACATTGGCGTGCACGTAAAAGATCCCTTGACAGTTGGAATTCGATAAAAGAGTAGGTCGTAGCGCCGCTGCCCGGGCAAAATTTCCCTCATAGCACACTGTATGGCGTATGCCCGTCTTCATTAGCCGAGTTTAGGAGCAGAACAGTAGGACGTTAAACCATATTTCATTTCTGAAGCAGGAAACCGTCCATTACCACAAAATCTGTCATGGTTTACAGTGCATGCGTCAAAAGAAAACGGAAGCTGACTGTCTAACTTATTACTAAAAGTAAATATCTTTAGTTAGAGCAGAAAACTATAAAACTCAGCTACATCCTTATGGTTTACAGCTCATGCGTCAAAAGAAAACGGAAGCTGAATTTCTAACTTTGTACTAAATGTAAATATCTTTAGTTAAAGATTTACAGCGCATGCGTGAGAAGACCCGGGCAGAGCACAATGAAACGCAAATTGACTATCGACTCCTTAGCACCAAAATGTAAACTTCATGAACCAGGCAAATCGTCAGCGAAATGTCAAACTGTACTCTTGGTATAGACTATATAGCTAGACTAGACTAGACCAGTCATGAGACTGTCGTTCAATTTGGAATATACTCACGTATATTGACGAACATACCTAATTAGAAATTAAAATAAAAGTTTTAAAAATTGAATGTAAATCAGTTTATACGTTCCGTTTATATTTTATTCCATTTTAGGTTCCAAAGAATCCAGATTGACCTCCTTTAAACTAAGAAGACGGATCAGACTCTCGTATCCCATAAAGTTGTAATATAATGTGAATAGCCCATTACTGCTAGCTAAATTGACAATCTAATACGTCAACTGACCTAAAAGAAATCAGTGAGGTTCAGCTCCTATGACGATTGAATGTCAATACCACCGTAAATCCAGACCCGTAAGCTACATGAACAACTCATAAAAGAACATCTCTATCGATATTAATGATTTGTGGGCTTTTTTCAATAATAGACATGTCTGAGTCTGAGCTCCCTTTTCAGGATATAATGATGAAACATAAAACTTGTAACGCGTCCGTCAAATTGAATTAGAGGATGGTTGAAGGCGTTGAAAGAGCTGACTGAGAGAGAGAGAGAGAGAGAGAAATGGGGCTTAACGTCCACTCGACACAAACTAGGTCATTTCGGGACTAACATAATAATATGTGGTTTAATTTTATTTCAATAATTCGCTTGCGCGCAGGGGTCTTTAGTAGTGGGAACCAGGAGAAAACCGACGAGGTTAGACAGGCCACCCTACTCCTTGCCAGGTACAACCGGGAAATCGAAATCACACCAGTT